TATTTATTGAACACTATATTTTAATATTTATTGAACACTATATTTTCATATTTATTAAACATTATATTTTAATACTTATTGAACACTATATTTTAATATTTCCTAATATTATATTTTTATATTTATTGAAGACTATATTTTAATATTTATTGAACACCATATTTTAATACTTATTAATATTATATTTTAATATTTATTGAACACTATATTTTTATATTCGTTAAATATTGTATTTTAATATTTATTGAAGACTATATTTTAATACTTATTGAACACTATATTTTAATATTTATTGAAGACTATATTTTAATATTTATTGAACATTATATCTTAATATTTATTGAACACTATATTTTAATATTTATTGAACACTATATTTTAATATTTATTAATATTATATTTTAATATTTACTAATATTATATTTTAATGTTTACTATTATTATATTTTAATAGTTACTAAATATTAATTTACATAGCATATATTAATATACACTTTTTAATATGTATTTTAATATTTACATATCAACGTTGCACAGGGTGTCCAATTTGAATCTATAAATAAAAATAACTCATTAATTACACACCGCATGAAAACTGTCTCCCACGGAAATTTAATTGTTTTCGCGTTGCCTACAAGACGATACGATTCATCTTTCTGTAAATTAACGCATGCGCAGCAAATGAAGATCAACTTTGTTTCCTCGAACGGAATCGTATAATTTCAATCACGCTTATCGGTTCGGTTCGTCCTCCCGAGCAAAAAAGTATGAAACCCCGCGTGCCAAAATGTGATCAGTTCACGAGATATTTGAGGTTAAACATCGTCGAAATAGGTTAGGTTATGAGATGGCATTAACGTTCGGTCAATTGTCGTCGCGACTCGCCCTCGAACTCGAACAACGATAACGCAGACCCGTCGCGAAACCGTCGCAGGAGCCAACCCCCGAGGGTTCCACCCCGTGGAACGCGCACAAAAAGCCTCGAAAGAAAGGAGTCGGTCGCTCGTTCGACCCGCACGGATGAGAGAAGAAAAAGGAAGAGGAAGAAGAGGAGGAAAAAGCAACGATCGGCCCACGTGTGCGCGTAGAATATCGACAGGACTCTCGGAGGTTCGTCGAGGACCTTTTAAGGTGCCGAAGGGTTCCACCTCCCTCCTTCCACCTCCTCTGAACGATAAGAGGGATAACTCTCGCTGGCTGGCCCTATGCCGTAACAATGCTGGCCAGCCGGCAAGAACCGGCGGCCTCTAATGGAAGGGATTCTGTTTCCTGCCGGGACTACGGATCGCGCATACTAAAAACTTCATCCTTTGGCTACCGTTACTATACACGACGCGGGAGCTGCAACCGTCTCGCCGAGCTACCTCGAGTCTATGTTTTCGAACAGGCACTATCGGGACCGGCGACAAAAATTCGACACACCCGTTTTACATTCGATCGCGGTATACAGGTTCCCGAGGTAATTTCGAGTAACTTTCTCCTTAGCGGAAATGCGATCCGCGGCTTCGTTTACGAGCTATTAACGAAAAACACTGACCAATGAGAGGCGAGCGCACCGGCTGCCGCGAGGCAGCCGAGCCAATGAGCGCGCGGAGCACAGTTCCGCTGATCGACTTGACCGCGTAGCGCTCGGCGAGCTCGCCGGGCCAACGTGCGATCGAAGCGCCAGTTCCGCGCATTTGCTCGGCCGTCGCGCGCCAACCGGAGCTCGCCTCTCATTGGTCGGTGTAATATAACACGTAATATACTCGTGAACGAAGTTGCGCATCAACGTTAGTTTCAGAATAAGTGTAAAGAATCAAATCAGATTAATTACGAATTACAATCTAATTCAAATGAGATTAATTACGAATTACGATTTAATTGAATTGCATTAAATACGAATCACGGTGTAATTGAATTAAGATCGTCAGTCACGGTGTAATTGAATTATGATTACGAATCACGGTGTAATTGAATTATGATTACGAA